GTAACGAATAAAAAAGCTGACGTTTCAGAGCGTTAGCCCTTCGCACGATTCAGTGTGATCAATAATGTCGACAATTGAGCGAGCCACCTCTCCAATAAATCTGCCCTTGATAAAATCGGATTGATTGTGGTGGATTATTCTTGGAATGACGAGTTTGATTCTGTCGGCAATGACCTAAGAAGAAAGCTTGGAGTTAGCATTGACTAATGTAATCGGCCTGAACAGTTTTCCAAATATATTTGATCTTTAACTTTTTTAAAAAATGAATGTGATAATTGCCTGTTTTTTCGAATTTGACACTTCTCCTGAGTCAAAAGAGCAATCAAAAGCATCGGTCATGGGTTGCCTAAAGAGCTCCAAAAAGCTTTATAAAATTCGGCAGGTATATCGTCGTTACCAAGACTACCTTTTCAAAAATATCCAGAGCTTTTGCACATTCTTCAATAGCTACTCGTCCTTCACGACTTAATTTTTCTTCCTCTGACAATTTTGGAATGCTAGCTCGACCAAGAAAGTGTTCCAACTTATCGTGCTGCACCGTGTTAATTTTTCTACTGTACAGATTTTATAATAATTTAAAGACGAACCTAAACGTTTTCATAGTTGGTAGTGATAACTCCTTTTAGACAAAGTATTATAATATGTTTCCTTGTATGGTTATAACTTGCATTTTGCATTTTGCGAAGAACTGCGATACGGGATAGTCAGGGCGGTGCTTGCTATCGAACAAACCAGAAAGCAAAAACTTTCACGAGGATCGTGCCCGAAAATGTTTTTTTTTTTTTTTTAACATAATGTGCGGTGGGCAGAAACAAAACTAACCCATTATACGTAACTCAAAACATATGTATTTTTCAACAGTTAAAGCATTTTTTCGATTAAATCATAGTGTTTTAATTTTATTTTTCGTTTAATTTCTGTGTCAGAGTCTGTCACGGTCCCCAAAACAAACTGTGACGATAGGTTTCGGCGCCAAAACTGGGAAAGAGAACTTTCGCGGACGGCACAACAATAACTGGGGGAAATGAACTCGGTAGAGACTACTCGGCTTGCGAGAAGGGAAACTCGTCCCGATTTCCTGGTACAAGGAGATCTACCTCGAGTGAACTTTTACGGACGTCAAGGATGAGAAAATATTTTGGTTCCACAGTAAACTTTATTCTAGGTCAGGCCAACAAGCAACGTGACCTCTAGCCTCTTCAGTTTAGTAATCATCAAAACCGTACAAGGTAGCTGCTTATCAACTAACTAGTGTGAAGTGCTATTGTTATCCAAATCGACCATATTTGAACAACATAACAAAAAAAGCGGTAAAGATCTCTTTGAAGTTAAACGAAAACTACTTAAATATTCCCATCTGTTTCTACGATGAAAAGAATTTTAAATTAAAAGGAGGGATCGAATAAACTCGAGGCCATTAAAAATAGGAAATTTMGGTGAGAATACATAGCTCTGGTATAGAAAATATACCTATCTTAATTGCAGTAGCGCAGCTTAGGAAATAAGAGTGGTAAAGTAATTAAAGTTTTCTGCTTATCTATACAAGATTGGTGTTGAAACTATCGTATGAAAGGAAATTAAAATTACGAGTTTAAACTCAGCTGCCAACTACCATGAGAACCAWTTTTTCCAGAGATACCATTAATTCTGCTCTTAAAATACTTCTTCCTTCAGTTAACTTGTGTGTCCGAGGTTTAAAAACTCAAGTGAGCAAACATGAAATAGCACTAACGACTTTTTTTTTAAGTTGCTGCATTTTGGAAATGTTAATACCACTGTAGAAAAAATCGTATACAAAAAAACCTTTGAGCAATAAGGTTGAGCATGAGTGTCTTGAAGAGCTATCCACCTGGCTCTCTAGAAAACTTCAAAAGGGAAAAAAAGGACAATGATTTCGAAACAAACCACAAAGTAAGACCCACACGCTTTTGAGTTCAAAAGTATTTGCATTCAGTACAAAAAAATTGCTCCCTATGGTGGCAAAGTGTTCAAACAGTCGGGCACATAATTGAGGAAGCGTTACCATCTACACTGTTAAATCTTTAAGGTTTGCATACAAACTCTTATCGTACATTTCCATGTTGATCAGCCTCTGCAGAAAAAAACAAATCAATTACATGCATAAGTTGACTGAATATGTTCCCATCACGCTATAAGCAGTTAAAAATAAGCTGTGTACTTTTTCACCCTAATCAAACACACGATTGTAACACAGTGTATTATAGTTTTAGCATTCTACAGCATTTTCAGAGCTTAAGTAGGAAGCCGCTTATTGCCTTCCACAGAAACGTAAAGATAAAAATAGTCATCGCACAAGTCTCACCTTGTGTAAGGTTTCAATGTCTTTCAGCTGGTTTTTCAAAGTAACAAAAGTTGGTCTCGCGTCGGGGTCATTTTGCCAGCATCTCATCATGATCTGATACCTAGTAATTGCAAAATCATCAACAGGTCCAATGAAATTTATGTCATTACATATTGTGTTCAGACTCCTTTAGAACTGTCTCCAAAATTTGCTCCTCTCCCAACGTCAGTCTTCGTAGTCGGTAGAGGCGGCCAACTAGTATCCAGGAGGCACGGGTTCTATTCCCGTCGAAGACAGAATTTTTAAAGCTTGATTAGTGCAATTGCTTAATTTGTAGTTAACCTGCGGGGATAATTTCATTGCTTGATTTATACAATGTAATGCTTACAACCATTTTGTTATCGGGAGAAATGAGTACTGAATTATATGCGAGAGATGCAACTGACATCTGATAATTGAAAAAGAGACGGATAAAACTTACAACTTATCATCCAGGTGCTGCGGTCTAGGCATTCTGTATCCCTGGTGAAGTAAGTTGGCAATCTTTCTTCCATCTATCCGTGGATACGGAGAACCGCCTGAGAATTAATCTCAAATGCATCGAAATATAAATACATACAAACCTCAAGAAAATTCTGTATGTGAGGAAGTTTCTTCAATAAGTTGAATGTCAACCAAAGTATAGTTTATTGATTAATTTTCAATTTTCCCATCAATTTTTAAATGAAATGTTACCTATAGTGAAAATCTCGTAAAGGACAACTCCATAACTCCATCTGCAGAGAGGTAATGCAAACAGAAATAAGATGACTTAGTCTAGAGGATCAACTGAGGACATGAGAAAATTTGAAAATATCATCATTACAAAAGGAAATATAAATTGTTCAAAGATTCCATTCTGGTTCAATTGGAAAAATCTGGAAAAAAAAAGAACCAGGAAGAGATATCACTAAAGGAAATGTTTAATTTATTCTTACACATCACTTTTGGTGGTATATGTGCCATACAACAATGCCTCGTAGGCTGTCCACTTCACTGGAAGACGACCCTCAGGATTAAAAGTCACATCATTAACGGTTTGAAATAACTGGCAAAGGTATGGTTGACGCAAAAATGACTTAAAGCCTTTATTATTATCAAAATATTCCAGGAATTCACCTGAATTTGTAAAACATCTCCAATGACAAAAATTCGATTAAAAATCAAAGGGAAATAACCTAGTCACCTCGATTGATATCTTTATTCTTAGGTGCCCAATTACAAAGATGCAAGGATTAAAAATCCTAAATAGGTCAAGAACATCTCAACGGAGACAAAAGACGATGATTTTACAAAATGTAAGCATGCGACTGAACACCACTCGTCTTCAATCTACCTTTGTCTTTCGTTCATATACATTTTCCAGCTGCACATCTCTGGCCATTCCAAATTCTGTCACTTTACACGTTTCTTTTTGTCCAACCAACACATTACGAGCTGCGAGGTCCCGGTGAATGATCTGAGGTAGGAGTTGAGAAGTAAGTTAGTATAGTACCCCTGAGTGATAATCTGTCATTGTTGTGCTATTTTTGTTTGTTTGTAACTGTAACTGAACCCATGGTGCCATTCCCTGTAGACACACTCTCAGTGTCGCTCCCCGTAGCTGACTCCGCGCCAACTCCAAACTCGTCCACCCATTCCCAGACTCGTTTAGCCACACCCTCAGTGTTACCCCCTGCAGCTGAATCTAACTTAACTCCAGACTCGTCAGTCGAGCTGGATGTCAGGAGATCAACGAGACAGAGAAAAGCTCCTGACCTTTTTAAAGACTTTTTCATGTCGTGATCAAACTGAACATTGTCCTTAGGATCGAAAACTATAACCTAATGATAAGAAAGGGAAGATGTGACGATATATTGTTAGATCATTAGTGGTGTTTACTACATATTGTTTGGTATTTGGTTAGTGTGAGATAATTAGTAGTGTTTATTATTGTGCATGTGCATGTGCATGTGTATATGTTTGTGGCTTACATATATATATATGCATTCGCAAGCCCTAGTCCAACGGTTTTTTACTTCTTGTAATCGATCCGCAAGTAAAGAATTAAATGGGGTATTTTTTAACGTAAACTCTTCCTTCCATTTGTTGTAATAGGTTAGAGTTAAGCTCTGCGATTTGTTTTTTGACTTACAGATTTTGAGGACAAGTAACTCATGCCATCAGCAATTTGCCAAGCGAACTTCATTAGCTGTTGTGACGTCAAATTTGTTTGTGGCTTGATATCCGGGTCTTTGTAGTAAGTGTCATTTAATCCACGGCTCTTTCTCAGGTAACCAAGCAGATCACCAAAAGGAACATATTCGATCAGTACCAGAAGTGGCTCTGCAAAAAGAGAAAAGTGCCTCTAAAATTTGAAGCATGTTATCACTGACGAGAGACATTTTAAAAGTCCCAAAAAATTAAGTAGCAAAATAAAACGAGAGGACCAGTTGTGAGAAAGTCAACCTTATTTACCACCAGGAGTGGCTCTGCCAAAGAAGAATTGCTACTGAACTTGAAACAAATTTCGTTGTTCACAAGACTGTCTCACAAAAAAGATCATAGAGGGGAAATAAAAAACCACTTGCAATTTGATAATCGTCATAAGCCAGCATGCCGTGTACAACTGAAAAAAGCCTACACAACCAAAGCTTACCAGATCCCGTGACACATCCTAGAAGCTTACCAGATTGCGTGACACATCCCAGAAGTTTAATAACATGAGGATGAGGGTCCAGTTGCTTCATTGCTTCGAGTTCTTTCATTAAATCTCGCTTGTCAGATTCGGCGGCGTTGCCTGGAGAGTTAAAACCAAATGGTGAACATTGCTTAACTACAATTACACGCAAAATGACAATGCATTAGAACCTCGAACTCGGTTTAACTCGAAGTCCCCGCTAACTAGAACCAAACACCGTTTTCCCTTGGATTTGACTCCCATTTTCATTTATTATATGCTAACTCTAACTCAGTGAACTGAAACTCTCTACAAACTCAAAAACCCGAGTCAAAGTGTCAGAATATAGCTGATCAACATCTCCAGTCTTAAATCGCGATTGATACGAACATGATTACATTTATGAAGACGTAATACATTTAGCTGAACTTACTAAACAGAACGTTCTTATCAAAAAGCTCAATTAAAACCAACTTAAAGTACGAATATAATTGTTGGTTGTGTAAGAATGGTGATAACTCGTACCCCAACTGCCTCAAATCCTTTTTCGTTTCTATTGGGAGTTTGAGTTAGAGAGGTTCTAATGTATGAAAAAAAAATTGAAAAAAAAAACCGAATTTTTTTACTATGTTCTATAACTGTCTAAGGTGCAATTTGAACTAAGGTCACAGAACAAGATCTTACATTTAAGCATTTTAATGGCAATTGGTGTCGCCTCAGGCCTTCCTCGAAGTCCAATCGCTATTCCTTTAGCAACCTGACCAAAAGCACCCTTACCAATGACTTTTTCTATGTTCACGTGATCTCTTGGAACTTCCCAGGAGATTGTTAATGGATTAAGAGGCGCGTAATCAGCACCTGCAGC